AAACAACCTCAAAATAAGCTTAGGTATAAATAAAAGGACTTCATATACCTCAATAAATATCTCACTCTCGTTAGTTGAAATAAGGTCAATATTTTTATACCTCAAAAATACCTCTTTTGTTACAAGTGTAAGAAAATAAACCTGGTATACCTTAAAAATCTCCTTATCAGTCTGGTTGATTTGAAGTGAATTTTAAACAACCTCAAAACAAGCTGAAGTATATATAAATCAACCTCGTACACCTTAATTACAACCTTTACGAGGTATAATTTTTATTGCTGTTTTCTCTGCAACCTTAAATATACCACAAATATACCTCAAAACAACCTTAATACCTCAAAAATAACTCAAACTAACATTAAATATACCTTAAATTTTCATAAGGGTACGTTCAGTCCACGGCGGGATCAATAGATAAAAGGATGTAACATTTGAAGCTTGGTACACATCACCAAGAGTTAAATATAACGTGCTATAGTAGAGAGTAGCAAGAGGGTGTTAAGTGCCTCAGAAGTAGGTTGATTTGTATGTTCATTGCAAACATAGATCACCAAGCTTGTGTACTTGAACGTCCTTATTAAATCAAAGAGAAATTAGCACAAATTATAGAAGTTCGTCATAAAGTTTAATTCAAGGTCATGTTGGGAATCGAACCTTTTTCCACACTTACGAACGTAAGGTAGAAGGACGATAACTTTCAGACACAGAGAGAAGATGTTAATTGAATTCGTTGTGCTCTGATCTCTGTTAATTTGTTATGTAAACTAGTTGTTTGATTATATACATAAAGAGAGCTGTGGAGAAGAGGTAAGTAGTATTATCAAATCATTTATACTATCAAATTATAGTTAATAATTAACATTAAAAGAATAATGACAGCTTGCTCTTGATAAATTGAAATTGGAGTTGAACACAGAAGGTTGCTGCTGTTGCAGTTAATTTACGTTGCACTAGAACTGCACAATGGGCTAATGGTGACGGTCTGGGAAACATCCCTGAGGATGATCCAAAGATATGCCATCACGATTTTGATCCTCTGCAGAGGAGATGGTACCCCCGCTTCGGTAGCCCGATGACCTGCATGCGAAGTCGAGCACTTTACGGTGGAACAGTTTAACGAGGACCAATACCGCACACCCTCGGTCCCTACGCAGACTAATCCAAGTGGTCACCCACCCGCACACTGACAGCAGCCAGTGATGCTTGACTTCGGTGATCTGCTGGGAGCCTTGTCTTAACGATCAGTCCACTGCGGGACGAGCACAGAAGGACCCCTATATTTTCAATCGCTTAGGGCCCTACTAAGTTTAAATCCGGACATGTGATAACAATGGAAGAAAAAACTAAAGAAGCAAACTCAGTTTCTTATCTAGCAGATCGCAGTTGCATATCTAATTGAGCATAAATGGATCGTGTTTTGATTCGGTTTTCGAAATCAAATATGTAATCTGTTTGATTGTTCGTATTAAAATTTGTTGTCATATTTTCATTAATCATTTTGCATAAATGCAATCTTTATTACACTCAAGACAAATTTTTATTGAATAAATACCTACCACCCTAAGTACCATCGCAGATTTCAGCTACATAGCACGAAGATTCTTCAAATCATTGACCTGCTATAATATAACTATGTATTCTATAGATTAACGAGTCGGTAAAGTATGAAATACGGCACTCGAAAGTTCTTTGATCAAGTTCAAAACGCTTTTAATCAGTTTTGAAACACATATACACTACTGGCCATTGAAATTGCTACACCAAGAAGGAATGCAAATAACAGAATGATATTTATTGGACACATGCATTATAATTGGAAGAGCAAATGATTAAATTTTCAGGATATTTGGATGTATAGATCCTGGGGAATCAGTACTTAGAGCAGCCTCCCCTGGCAGCAAAAACAGCAATTATTTTCCTGTGCATCGAGTCGAACAGAAATTGGATAGCATGCGAACAAGCGAACATTTTCTGTGTCAAGGAAGGTCAGGACAGTGTGGGCAACATGCGATCGTGCATTGTCCTGCTGTAACGTAGCGTTATGGAGGCCTCGAAAATAAGGCAGAGAAACTGACCCTAACACATCAGAAATGTAACGGCTGCTGTTCAAAGTGCCAGCAATGCGAACAATCGATCGAGCGTTCCCCACGATTTCACCAAACACGGATGCGGCCATCATGATGCTGTATACAGAACCTGGATTCGTGCTCCTGCCTGTGATGCAGCGTCAAAGGTAACCGAAGCCATGATCGCCGCGGCGATCATGGCTTCGGTTACCTTTGATCCAGTCCTTGCTACTGCAAACGTCGTCGAACTGATCGTGCAGACACTTGTTGTCTTGCAAATGAC